ATCTATCATCATCCATTATTGAATCTCAGATTCTTCTATTCGATCACTTCCTTAACCAAATTCTAATCAAAATGCTTGAAACCTAGTCCCATAAATTGTATTGTGTCATCTCTGCTGCATACCACAGATGGAACACTAGACATCTCTTGTTGCTCTTTAGTCTTTATTTGGCAATTTCGCAAGAATTATTTGTCTCAAAATTCGAGCTTTGTGTGATTTTGTGACCTAGCCCTCCTTGAAACTAGCTCCCATACCACTCCTACTGGTTCTACAAGATGGAGACTCTTCTCAGAGTCTGAAAGTGAAGATTTTGACAACGATTCAAACGCCCTCTACAGATTTAGTGCTTACGGTGGAGACTCTGATGCTTCCACGGACAGGCATGGTTTCCTTGATGAGAGAGGCTTTGAAGAACTGCTTGAGCAACTTGCTGAGTCTGACAATTCAAGAAGAGGTGCACCACCTGCATCTGTGTCATGCGTTAGGAATCTTCCATGGGGTATTATTGGAGAGGAGCATGTAAAGAAGGGCCTGCTCTGTTGTGCGGTCTGCAAGGATCTTTTCACCCTCGGTAATGAAACCACGCAGCTTCCGTGTCTACATCTATACCATGCTCATTGTATTGTACCTTGGCTGAGTGCCCGTAACTCCTGCCCACTCTGCCGTTTTGAGCTCCCAACAGATGATAAAGATTACGAGGAGGGAAAGCAGAATGTGCTGGATGTGAGCGAGGATAGCTCCTCCTCTGATGATGACACAGACGCGGGAGAAGAGGAGTATGTAGAGAGAGGTGAGAGCGAGTCTGGTGTGAGCAGGGTTGGCAGAGGAAGATGGCTGTTTCTGGCAGCTGCACCAGTTGTGAGTCTGGTGGGCGTGGTGTTGGCAATGTGGCTAAGCAACCCACAGAGGAGAGATATAGTAATCTCTCATAGCCAAAGAGGGAACAGAACCAGAAGATGCTCCATAATCTGTACTTTAATAATAGATCCCAAAAGATGCTTGAGTCTTATATCATTTCGTCTCTCTTTCATCACATGTTAGTTTAATTGAAGTTTAACCAAAGAAGTTGTGATGTGTGTTGCAAATATTCAGAGAAAAAGGGAGTGCTCTTGTATGCCATAAGTTGATAGGGTTATTTTATTAACTCACATTTACACAG